GCTCTTTACCAGCCTGGCCTCTGGGTATTACTTTGACCTACAGTTAAAGACCTACATTAAGAAAGAAGCTTTCTGATAAACAAATTTGCCGTCTGACTAGGTTTCTTCTAAGTCCACACTCAGAAATTTTGCAGCCTCTTCTTCAGTTGAAGCAAATAAAGGTGCAGACCACAGATACAACCATCAGCACAGCACAACACAGCAGCAAACTTCACTCTGGTTTAAATTGGAGCACTGGGGGGGGGGGGAATAAAAGCAACTACAGTGAGTTTAAAGCAGCGCACAGCTGAGACCAACTCATCGTGCTTCAAGTTCTTTAAAAACAAATTCTGAGTGATGAAAAATAGCTGATGGGATTTGCCTCTCTGTGTGTACCCACACATATATACACATGTACGTGTGAGTGTGTATATATACACATCTATGTGACAAGATGAGAAGATGCAAAAACCAGACTGGATAGGAAGAGAAACAAGAAATTCCATAAAATGCTTTTGCCCAAAAGTATTAAGTTGCAGGATGACTTCATTTCAAATACCTGAACAGAAAGTAACGCTCTTAACCATGAGATACTGAAGATAAGAAACCTGGGACACAGCAACAGAGAAAGCACTCGGGCATGGTAGCTGGCAACAACTTAGGGTACGAGATTATTGCATGTGCATGGGAGTGTATTCTCCTACCGAGGGCCCTGCAGAGAGATCACATCGGATCAGGGAAGGAGAAAACTAAGATCCTGCGAGGGCAGCGCTGGAATGTGGCATTGCTTCCCCAGCGCCAGCTCCCCGCAAGAGATTGCCACATCACAGGGAGCTCAGGGGAGACATCCAGAATGTGTATGGAGGGCAGGAGAGCTGAAGAACAAGCTCCTAAGACATGGTCCAGTTAAGCAAAAATTAGGTGTTAGACAGCCTGTAAATACAAAGGCTGAATGTATGGAAGATTGGAGAAAAGGGCAGGGGACGTCTTGTTGGTACAAATATTAGTAACAGGTTGACATTAAGGGGGGAAAGAAAAAAAAAAAAAAGGCAGACCAATCCCTGCTAGCAAAGCCTGCCTGAGCATGGAATAATCTTTCGAAGGAAACCACACCGCTGAAGGCAACCAAGACGGAGCAGGACATGGCAGGGAAGGGAGCTCCCAGCTGAGGCTCCTGTCAGCACTGAGCTCCACCACCACTCGCAGAGGAGGGGGCGTGCACATGTCCACCCATCCTCCGAGAAACAGCAAAGCCTTACCTTGCGTTGTACCTATTATATACCTATATTTAAAACCACCAAGGAATCCCCCAACATGCCTTTGAAAAAGTTAATATCTGTCTATCTATATCCCTGCTCAGTGCTCAGGCTAGTCCCATCCTCTTAATTATCCTCCCGAGAACAAAATTCAGCACACGCTTATGTAACACACAGGAGACAGCTTTATGATATGGAAGCACCCACTTGATGATCAGTTCTGTACAGCAGCACTGCGTTAGTCATCATCCTCACTTGGGGTTTTTACAGTAAGTGTTGTGCTCGTAAAAGAAGAAGGGCGTGTTTCCATTTAACCAGCAATACGGCACAGAAGCATTTCTAGCGTGCTCCACTGGAAGACTGTCTGTTTCCTGGCTCAAGGGCAAACAGTTTATAAAAGTCCTCCCTACCTCCAAACTCTTCTTTTGCAGTCTGCAACTTCTCTTCATTCACCTTAGGATTCTATTAGGGACAGGTCACCTACTAAATTAATGCCAACATTTAAAAAGTAAAAACACTTCAATCATCAGATCCATTAGCCTTCCAGCAAGAAAATGTACATTAAATCAAGCTGCAGGGTCTGAAAATTAATTATAAGTTTCAGATCACACAAAAAGAAGGTTTGGGGCCACATTTTTAAAGTGAAGGCGCCTTACAGAATACACACATCTCGTATTTTGCATATAGGTTCATATGTCTGCTTTGCTGCTTGGAGGGGTTTCCAAGACGCCTGCAGATGTAAAAGACTGCTGGCTGGAAAAAGATTTGGATTGGACCATTTGTTTCTAAACTTAGTGGAAAGGGTCTGAAAACCTTAATGAGCAAGTAGCAACAGCTTAGGTATGCCGACAATGACCTCATCAGAAACAATTTTTTTCTGTATGTTTCGCACTTTGCCCCCTTGTATTACATCAACACCCAATATAGGCTATGCAGTAGGCAGAATATCAGGCAGCATTTCAACCTCCTGAAACAGTGAGAAAAACACAGCCTTCATATCTTGCCTCGTGGATGAGTCAAGAACGAGGAATTTAAGAAGTTATGCAAGCAAGCATAAACTTTAGGTAAATAAATACTTCGTGAAGGCCTCTTGGCACTAACACGTGAGAATATACTTTCAACAGTTCAGATACTGATGTTCTGGTCATAATACCATGGACGACCTGTAGATGCCTCCTATCTCAGAAAGAAAAACCTTCTAAGAAGTAAACTGAGAGGCCTAGTAAAAAAGCTGAGACAGTCACAGGTGTGATTGTGTTAGAGGCATACGCCTCTTATGGCTCCAACCCTCTCGTGACATCAGAAGAGATGTTTCATTTCATAAAAACATCATTTTTTAGATTAGTACAGGCCAAAGCCATTTGGCCAGTTTGAGGGGGACAGGAAAATGGAGAGCAGATGGATGATGCCACTGATTAAAATCTATGACTACTTGCACTGAGTTATATCGGCTAGCCAGCATGATTAATCCTGCAGTTCTAAGGTGAAGAGTTTGGCCATTGATTTGAAAACGGTCAGGAAAAATACGTATTTCACCCTCTTTCTTCTCCAGAACAAAGGATCAGAGAGCAAGCACAACCTCCTTAGTCCAGCTGTCAAAACAGAACCTCCAACAGAGAAGGCCAACAAGTTTTGCTAGCTTACTCTGGAAATGGATAATGAAAAGAATTTCATGCTGACACAGCCACAAAAATTTCCTGAAGTGATCTCTAGTATGCCTAAGCAGTCAGGACAGAGATACTTCTTCACTGTATGCTCTGAGCAAATGAAAGAAGAAAATGAGTTGCCTCCAGGAAGGCTTCTCTGGACTCCAGCTGTAAATGAGATTTGGGTATTCAGTGGAGCATACAAATCCAGAAGGACCTAGGCAGAACAAGGTTACCACTGGGAGCTGTGAGAGTGGCATAGACAATTTAGAGGTTCACACTGCTTTTCTCTCCGTGTTCTTATCTGCCTCGTGACCTTACTGCAAAAAAATTTATAGCAGGACCCATGACGTCTCAAAACCAGAGTTAACCACACTAGCACCCGCCTAAAATTTCAGGAAGGTTCTCACAAGCTCCCTAAACTCTACCTCTATTTATGTACCAAAATGGTGCATAAATCAGGTAGACAAGTTTGAGGATTGGAGTGGCTGAGGTGCTGAGCATTTTTTTAATTCAAAAGGAATGCTGTGGGTTTCTCTCAGGCCTTTGAGTTTGGCAGGAGCCATGCAGAAATATCCCAAAGTGGGTCCCTGGCACACAGTGCCCGGTGCGTACCTTGACATGGTAGTGGGCATCAAGCAGGATGTTTGCAGGCTTGAGGTCCAGGTGGAGCAGTGGAGGGGACATGCAGTGCAGGAAGTTCATCCCCACAGCTGTCTCGTGGATGATGCGGAAGCGCAATTCCCAGGGCAGAGGTTCTGAAGCCAGGAGCTTTTCCAGAGACCCCGTTTCCATGTATTCCATGACCAAGCCAACAGGCTCTTTACAGATGCCATAAACGGGAAGGATGTAGCGAAACTTTGCCATTTCCATCTTCCTGGCTTCTTCCAATAACTCCATGCGCTCCCTGAGTAGAAGAGAGCAGATGGTGAAGGATGGGGTAGCTGTTTCTCCTCCCCCCAGACAGGCACAAATCATTTCTTATGAGACCGAGCACCACATTTCACGATCATCACTTGGCTGAACCACGCTACATCTCATTAGTCTGTACTCCAGGCATATTTCCACATTTACTAACTTTGCTTTATGCTTCTAATGGTAGGCAGCTTACAGCTGCTGAAACACAGGCGAGTTGTACACTTCAACAGTGCAAACATCCCCAGCGTAAAGCCCGTCTCCTCGCTTTGATGTTTATGCTGTGCTGTTCAGAACAAGGACGACACATGCAGCGCCCAGATTTACCGCCGCTGTAACTCCTTGGGCTAAAGTCATTAACTTTTTGTGAGTCATAAGACCGCGTTAATCAGGAGCGAGCACGGACAGCATTGCTTCAGCTGCTCTGCCAGCGCAGGCTGTCAGCGCACAGACCCAGGCCTCAGGAGGGGAATCCACAGGACCCACCATTTAGGGGAGCGAGCTGCCTGCTATAGCTGGGGGGACACAGCAAGAGCCTCCTTGTCCTCAAAACCCAGATCTGGCAACTCCGATGCTATGCTCACTCGGCTCCAGCGGATGCCGAAAACTGCCAGCGCACCATTTTTGGTGATGTAACAGGCCCAGCGCCGGCACACATAATGAGCACCCCTGGGTTGTTTACAGGTCACTTTAGCCTGACCCTGCAGAGCACTAAGCGTTACTCAGTCCGAGCTGCAGCCTCCCAGGTCAAGACCCTTAATTGCCATGCCCTCCTTCTGTACCTCACACACAGCCAACCTGCTGGGAGTCGAGTTTGAAAGAGGAAACAAGGGTCCTCTCCTCAGGCTGACTGCACCCCCAAAGAGGAGCCACGCCTGACAGGTGAAAAAACCTTCAGTCCACCAAAATCTGCATTATTAGTGATGATGGGCAGCACCCAGAGCAGCTCTGGGCCACAAGTATTGATGCTTCACTGTTGCTGCCACTCACAGGTTCACAAAAAGGGACACAGGTCAGACAGATAACATTTCCTGAACAGACCCTCTCTTATTACACGATAGCTCTTGTAACGTACCCAAGGCACGTACACTATTTGATGGAGAACAGTACCTGAAGTAATGGGGCAAAGTTTTAACACCAACCCCTGGTAAACAGAGAGTCCTACTTCAAAAGAAAAAAGACATTGCTTTGGCACTGGGAGACATCAGGGTTTACATATAAAGTGAGCACATTCACAGCAGCCACAACTGATGGAAGATGTTTGTACCATCTGCAAGGCAGAAAGCTCTCTGTCATCCGGCCCCCTCCACCAGTCCCCAACAGCTCTGGAAAACACCCCAGGAGTGATCCTGACCCAGTCACAGTTTGTGCCCCATGCCATGAACAAATGATGCCAGTTCCCACCCCTATTGGCTCAAACTTTTTTTTTTTTTTTTTATTTTAAAGTCCAACACCAGCTAGAAGCAGTCTCAGTTTCTGAAGAGAGAAACACCCAGTCCAGCCTTAGTGCAGTTAAGTCTCCCCCCCGATGCCCCAGTGACCCAGGGGACGGTACACACCACCCACACTGGAACACGGCCTGCAAGGGACCCTCAGTGCTCCCACATGGGAACAATCTCAGGAGCCGTCATTTAGCCCTTAGGCTCCATGTTCGGACATTCCCGTGACTCCGTCCCCTTGCCCTCTGCTTCGCCTGCTGTGGGCAGCGCAGAGTTGACGTTCCCCAGACGAGGCTGGGAACGCGGTCTGCTGCCTGTTCCCCACCTGCCATAGCAGCCTGCAATAACCCGACGCAGTTAACATTTCACGCTAGGGGCGAGTCTAGCCTAGCAAGAAGCAGCAGACCTATTTCAGAGACAAGATGAGGTTGACAAATGGTTTAAGAGGGACGTACACACTGGGAGGGGAAAAAAAAAAAAAAAAGATAAGGGAAATCTTTTCTATTAACCATGTTGGCTCCTGCTGCTCCCTACAGCAACTTTCTTGTGAAATAATTGCCTTTGTAGACAAGCACCTAGTTTGCTCTTTGGCACGCTGGAAGGGAGCGCCTATGAATAACACAACCAACTCCTTGCCCCCAAGCCACATGCATAGCCAGCATAATTCACCAGGCTTCGGCGGGCTGAGCACTGGAGTCAGGGATGTAAAATACCTGTCTGAGCCCTCCAAGGCAAGGCAAGAACCCAGCAACAGCCAAAGCCTAACAAGAACCACTAGACTCCCGGGGAAGGAGTTCCCGGGCTAACAACAGCCTCAGAGAGCATCACCGAAATCACAGGCATCAGCTGCTTGAAATGGGGCATTTTCCCCAATGAAAAGAGAATTTCCAGTTTCCGAAAAATGAAAAAAGCTCCCTTTCTGCTTGGACCAGGCCTAGTTAGTGGAGTGAATTAACTGACTAATTAACAGGCAAGTGCCCTTTATCTAATTTGCCTGTTTAAATACCCCCCCACACCACCACACACACACACACACATATGCACGCACACCCCCCCATACAACAATCGCCACCTTTAGTACTTTCCCATAGCCAGAGAATTCAGAACTGAATCAGCCAGTGATCTGGTATAGCCAGGGAGAACAAGTCAGTTTTCAAACACAGGCCCCTCTCACCTTCAGAAAACCAAAAAGGAAAAAAGACAAAAGAACTAAAGAGAGCCAAAATACAATTCAGTCATTAGCCAAGTGCTGGAGTGCACTTGCATTAATCCTGTTAACACAAACAGCTCATTAAAGCAAGATGTCCCCCATCAGGCAAAGATGAAAGGTCTTTCCCTTTCCTTTTCCCTTAGCCAAGGCCCTGTTGGCACTCAGCACAATCTTGGGTGTTCTCAATGCGCCCATCAACTCAATATGCAACTGCTAATGCTGCCACAAAGGACGGTATCCTTCAAGTTCACATTTAACAGATCAAAGTATGGGATGGAGAGGGGGGAGGGTGTTGTGCTGCTCAGTTACTGGTAGTGTTTAGAAATTACTCTTCACTATCACCCAGAAACACTTCCCTCCAAAGTGGAGGAAAAGAAAAGCTCCTTATGAGGTTTCTCAGTCAAGAGGCATGGGACTAGGCTCTGTTATAATAGAGTTTCTTATTTAACACCTACACGATTAAAGAGTCAGAAGTCTCTTCTCTAAGCACTTTGGCTCCATTCTCCTCCCCCTCCAGTACTATATCCTAACATTATGGTAATAAAAATTAAAAAAAGAAAAAGCTTGCACACAGGACAGCTGAGCTCATATAAATCATGGGGTGCGTACACTTTCCCTTACAACGGTATTAGAAGGTGGGGAAACACACATCAGGAGATCTAGCACTGGGTTCAGTGCCAAACAGCATCTCTGTCAGAGAAGTCGTCAGTGACAGATCATCCATTTTTAAAGCAATAAGAAATAATACATAAATGGGGAACCTCTGACATCCCCAAACCCACTGTCTGCTTCCGCTCAAAGTGAGACCCCGAACGGACGGGGCTGCATTCTTTGGATTCTCCTGGAGAGACAAGGGACGTACTCCTGCCCACTGCCTCACTCCCCGGGGACCAGGGCCCAACCCCTGTACCACCAACCCTGACACAAGAACAGCAAGAATTACGGCTACACCTGCATTTGCATATGTATCCAATCTTTATGCCCTAAAGATAACACTGTGTTATAAAAATACAACTTTAAACTCACAAGGCGGATGGTCCTTGCAGTTTTATATTCCCTCACCACTGCCATCACATTTCCCTAACGGAGTCTGAGACAAGGCGGTTAAAGTTGCTCCAGAGAAGCTCAAAAAGACCTGAAAACCTGTAACGGGGCCATTTGTGTGAGCCACCTGCAAACACAGAGCAGCCAGGCTTCTCCCAGCCCAGGGGAGATGGAGATCCAGCTCTGCACAGCCACGCTGCTCCCCACTGGGGAATAACAAACAGCTGGCAGTGAAGATGGGGTCCACAAAACTGCAACAGCCCTGAATGTTTTCAGGGACTCTTTTCATTTGCATCATGGCAGATATTTAAGAGCACACAGTGACCTCTGCTCTGCAGGGTACGTTTAATGATCTTCACACTGCTGATCCTCAGAGAAGAATGGGAATAAGAAGAAAAGAAAAACCCCTGCATGGTCAGGGCAGAATATGTGGTGGGGAGGGAGAAGAAGGAAAATCCCTTCTTTCAGGTTAACACAGATCTCAGCTCTGCTAACAGATCTCTGCTGTATAGCCCTGGTACAAGAGGATTAAAAGGTTCAACCGGACAGCTAGGTTAACCCCTACACTTTAAGGGGCACAAGGCGAGTATTAAGTTCTACCTACACATCTAGAGATCGCCAGAACAGACATTCATTCACGTTTGTTACCTAAATAAATGCAGTATCTGCTAACAGCAAGGCATTTCTAAAACCTCCTAAATTTTTAAGTCCTACTCCATTCCTTGATCCAGGTCCTGCAGAAGGAGGCATGTGTAGGGCTTTGCTCTTTTTTTTTTTTTTTTTTTTTTCTTATCAAGAAGGCAGACCTTTCCACCTCCGCACCTTCTAGTCACCCCCACCAGCTCACACTTCCAGTGAAGAACCCTCTCTGGGAACCATTACACCATTCATACTTGTTATAGTCTGCGCATTTATGTTCAGCTATAAGAAACCCACAAAGTCTTCCAGGTTGTTCTCGGAGCTCCCCACCCTTTTTCTCCAGACCATACTTCCATTCTAGCCAACCGGGATGAAGAGAAGAGGCTACTTTGTGTGCTCTCCACTGCAAGTCCTGGGGGAGAGGATCCTCCACCTTTCTGGGTCACGCACTCTTTTCTTCAGGCTTACGTTGAACCTCCCCAACTTGAGAGCATCTCGAGTCACATGCGGGAAATGTGATCTCGGGAGACAGAAAGTGGGAGCAAATAAGGTGTTAGGAACGGAATTTGGCTCAATCGCCTGAGAGGGCTTGGGCTTAAAGGTAAAACCCACTTCTGGCTGTACATTTGGTTTTTCTTCTGCTTGAGGCCACTTGGCTCT